AGTTAAATATAGAGATAATAAAGTGAGTTGTGACTTGACATATTAGCCTGCAAAAAATTAGTGAGTCTCACATGGTCTGATAGTTTGTCGGACCAAATAATTTCTTAGTCTATCGGATCAAATGACAGATATGATGAATTGATTTATTAGCATGTTTAATTTTCTTTTCTTAATTTCGAACAGTTTCTGCATATATACTTTCTGATTAAAAAAATTCAATAATTTTATACTGAAAAACATATGGCCTTGACAACGAGAGAAATTCTAATGTGCCGGATAAATGTGGCCTACCTGATACCATAATGGACTTGAGTGACGTCAATCCGAAACACATCCTGTCATCAGGGAAGGACAGTTTATCCATGGGCCAACAAGTGAAGCCACTTCATATAGGAAGGTCTAATGTGCGTGGACAAGAAAGCAACGAAACAGAATATCAAGAAAGTCCGATAAAGGGGGGGAACTTGGGAGGTTACGCTCCAAGAGGGTAGAGGGGCTTGCACTGATCAGCAATCCCTTATCAAATTCAGGGGGGAAGACACAATTATGACAACCTCGGAAGAACCTATTGGCAACATAAGGAACGGTACGAATAATGCAGGAAGCAAAAAATTGGTGCTTGACGAGGATGGTGGGGGCGGCAACAGGACTTTGGTGGAAGAGATCAACGAGCTAGAGACAAAGCCAAGGAGGAGACTAGGTGGCGGCAAAAAGAAGAGTTCAACAAGAAAATTTATAAGGTTAGCCAACTTATCTTTGAGCCCATCTATTTCTGACAGTGATATTAGAAGCTGCAATACGGCTTTTTGGTTAAAAAATGATGAAGAGGAAGCAAAGAGGATGTGGCAAATTGGAAAAGAAGTTGGCACTTCCCATAATGGGTCAGAGGAACAAATTATCCAACAGATGGTTATTTTGGAAAATAGAGACGTCATGGAGAAACTTAAGTACCAAAGGGTGAACGAGGAGGGGGTCCATAACTGTGCTTTATGAAGATCATCACATTCAATATAAGGGGACTTGGGGGTAGGGTGAAAAGGAGGAACCTAGGGAGATGATTCAAAAATAGAGGGTTCAACTACTATGTTTGTAGGAAACAAAGACACGGGAAATTACGGATGCTATGTGCAAAAGCTTTTGGGGTGAAGGTGATTGCGAGTGGAGAGCGATTCCAGCTGTCAACACAGCATGAGGCCTATTATGTATCTGGAGGAAGGAAGCATTTCAATGTTGCTCAGTTTTTGAAAGTTCATCATATTTGGGTATGGAGGGGATATGGAAGGATGATGGATCTAGAGTGGTAATTGTTAATGTATATAAGCCATGTATTTAGGCTCAAAAAGAAGTGATATGGAAAAAATTGGTCGAGATGAAAAATAGTAGTCAAGTTCAAATGTGGTGTGTTTTGGGCGATTTTAACTACATAAGGAGGGTCGAGGAAAGGGTAAATGTAGATGTGAGCAACAACAGAAGGTGGGAGATGACACAATTCAATAGGTTTATTAGTTAGATGGAATTGGAGGAAGTACCAATAATCGGCAAGAAGTATACTTGGTACAAACCAAATGGTAGGGTGAAAAGTAGGTTGGACAAAACTCTTGTCACGAAGGAGTGCTTGTTGGAATGGTCTAGCATTTCTCAAAAGGTGCTGAAAAGGAGTGTTTTTGATCACTGTCCAATACTATTACAATAAAAAATGGTGGATTGGGGCCCAAAACCTTTTCGTACACTGGATTGCTGGATTCAAGACAATCAATTTCATATGGTTGTTGAGGAGGCCTAGAGAAGGATGCATATTTAGGGATGGGGAGCTTATGTGCTACAACAGAAATTAAAACAATTAAAAATAAGATTGAAGGAATGGAATGCAAAGGAATTCAGAAGCCAAAAAATGGAAGAAAGGAGAGTGGTGGATGAAATGAATAAGCTAGACACAATTGAGGAGGTAAGAAGCTTATCTGAGGTGGAAATCAGTAGAAGGGTTGAATTGCTTCAACTATTCTGGGCTGCTGCAATTAGAAACGAGTCTATTTGGTGTCAAAAATCTAGAAGTCAATGGATCAAAGAAGGAGATATGAACACCAAATTCTTTCATTTGATGGTAAAATGGAGGAGCAGGAAGAATGAGATAAAGGGACTATTTATAGATGATCAATGGGTGGAGGAACCTGAGGCAGTGAAGAATAATGCTATGTCATACTTTGAAAACAGATTCCAGGAACAAACAATGGTCAGACCAAAATTGGATGGAGCCCAATTCAAATCCATATCTTCGAGCCAGAATGAGATGCTAGTGGCAGTGTTTGGGGAGGAAGAGATAAAAGGAGCGGTATGGGATTGTGGAAGTACCAAATGTCTAGGGCCGGATGGATTTAACTTTAAATTTATAAAAGAGTTTTAGGAGGTTCTGAAAGGAGATATTTGCAGATTTCTCAACGAGTTTCATTAGAATGGCAAACTCCCAAAAGGATCTAACTCAGCATTCATATCTCTTATTCCTAAGAAAGAAGATCCGCAGAGTTGGGACGATTTCAGACCCATCTCAGTAGTAGGGTGTATGTATAAAATTCTCTCTAAAATTTTGGCCAATAGGATGAAAATGGTCCTACCATCCGTAATTGATGAGAGACAGAGTGCATTCATCGAAGGAAGGAATATATTGCAAAGTGTCTTAATAGTGAATGAAACAATTCATGAAGCAAAGGTGAAAAAAAAGGATGGGATTTTCTTTAAGGTTGATTTCGAGAAGGCGTACGATTCTGTGAGCTTCTCAAATCTACTATATATTCTGCAAAGGTTAGGTTTTAGCAGTAAATGGGTGTGGTGGATTAGAGAATTCCTTAGGACGACAACAGCATCTGTACTTGTCAACGAAAGTCTGTCTAAGGAATTTTCACTGAAAAGAGGTATACGGCAAGGAGATCCCTTAGCACCATTTTTATTTTTAGTGGCGGCGGAAGGTCTGACAGCCATGGTGAGGGTAGCAGAGAAGAAAAATATTTTTAAACCTATGGTGGTGGGGAATAATAAAGTCAACATCAGTATTGTGCAATATGCTGATGACATAATAATTTTCGGGGAGGGCTCTATTCAAAACATGGTGGTTATTAAGGCAATTATGAGATGTTTTGAGTTAATTTCTGGTCTATAGGTTAATTTCATAAAAAGCAAGTTCGGGGCCATTGGGTTGGAAGACCAAGTGATGGAAAGATATGCACAACTGCTGAATTGTAAACTATTGAAATTACATTTTATTTATCTTGGACTGCCAATTGGTGCAAACCCAAGAAGGAAGGAAATTTGGAACCTTGTAGTGGAAAAAATAAAAAGGAGACTGTCTAATTGGAAAGGCAAAGTGTTATCCATGGCTGGTAGAGTGCAATTGATTAATTCAGTACTCACTTCTCTACCTTTATACTATCTATCTTTTTATAAGATACCAAAAGGTGTGAGTTCCGAGATTTCAAGATTGCAAAGACAATTCTTATGGGGGTCTAACCAGGGGACTAAAAAGATGGCATGGATCAAGTGGGAGAAAGTCATAGTTTCTAAAGAAAAAGGGGGTTGGGTATAAAAGACATTAACCTGTTTAATAAGGCACTCCTTGCCAAATGGAGATGGTGTTTATTTCACAATCCGGAATCTTTATGGGTGAAATTGCTTTGTTCCAAATACGGGGGATTCCAAAATTTATGTGCACAGAATGCATTACAAAATGACTCAATTTGGTGGAAGGACTTGATAAACATATGTGGTGGGCTGGAATTAGAGGGGTGGTTCGATAGTCAGTTGGAGTGGAAAGTCAACAGAGGTAGTACGGTAAGATTCTGGTTGGATAATTGGGTCGATCAAGTTACCTTAGTAGTAAAATTCCCATCACTTTTTGCAAGCCCCAAGCAGAAACACGACGTGATTAGTGAAATGGGGGGGGGTGGGTGGAGGGTGAAGGGAACTGGAGGTTCAGGTGGAGTGATCAAACAGTTGTAAGTCATATAGAGATGGAACAGGAACTTGGTCAGGTGTTACGAGGATGGCAACCTACAATTAACCAAACAGATTGGTGGTTTTGGAGGTCCAAAGTAGATGGAGTGTTTTTGGTGAAAGAGGCATACAAGGTGATTGAATCAGAGTCAAGGCCCGAGGAGGAAGGAACGCTATTCAAACAAATATGGTCCATAAAAGCTCCACCGAAGGCACTTATTTTCTTGTGGAGGATAGTCAATAGAGGTATTCCTTCTGTAGATATCCTAAAAAGAAGGAATTTAATCTTAGATGAACAACAATCCATTCGTGTGCTATGTAACAAGGTAGAGGAAATTGTTTCATATTTATTTTGCACTTGCCAAGAAGTTGATAACATTTGGAAAAGTTTATTGAATTGGATAAATTGTCCATCTTCGCTTCCTCAAGAAGTGGCACATCACTTTAACTTTATCCCAACACCCTTATCATCTAATCTTCAAATACAAGCTTGGAGAACTTTATGGTTAGCAACGACTCGAATGGTGTGGAAGAATAGGAATAAGGGTAGATTTAAAGGTGAGATTTTTAATTTAGAAAACACAATTAGAGAGATCACGTGTACTTCATGGAAGTGGATGAGGTTACTTAACAAGCAGTTCACAATTCCTTTTGCTCAATGGCTTTGTAACCCAGGTCAATGCTTGCTGTCTCTGGTTGTCTGATCGAATGAGGTTTCAAAGGTAAAAGAAGGTCAATAATACCTGTGCTCACAGCAATTAGAAATGGGGAATAACAGTAATGTAACGAGCTACAAGTTTGGGTAGTTTACGTCAAATAGTCTGTAGCCAAAGTTAAGAATCCGAGCGTAGCTTATTTTGGGGTGTAATTATATGGTTTCTATATTTGGTTATGCAGTAATTTGGTTCAAATGAACTAAATTATATATAACCCGTAATTTGTAATATTGGGTTATGGCACCCCTAGTGCCACCTCAATTTATTTTGTTGTTTCAAAAAAAATAAGAGAGAAATTCTGACCTGGTAGTAGCCTAGACCATGAGATGGAGAATCTATAAGCATCAAACCCTATGTCATTCATTATCCCCACATCTTCCTAAATAAACAAAAACATTTTCAGTTCTAACATTGATCGAATGGTGTTCCTTAAAAACAAATTATGGTGTTGAATTGAACTTGAAATGAGAAGGAAAATTTTCTTATTTTGCTTAGTTGAATTGAAGGAAAGGCTGCTATAAATGCATTATTTATTTATTTAAAAGATCCACTTCATTGCAAATATATACATATATCCTCTGAAAATGTACTTCTTTAGAATGTATATATATAGTTGCAATTTGTTTACAAGCAAAACATCAAATAAAATTGAATTGAAAGTTTGCAAATCAAGTTTTAGAAAACTGAAATTATGTGAATAAAATTTATGTTTTTATACCTTGAAACGATGGTATGAATCCACAGCGATTTCCCCGTTGCTTTGGTCCCTTATTTTATCTGCTCACAGGAAAGTTAAAATAGAAAACAAGCAAAACAATTACATGATTTTCACCAAGTGATCCAAAATATTCAAATTTTGTGAAGTTAAGGATATCTTAAAATATCTTCTATCTGGCTGAGCAATTATCTGCATGTGAATAATAAAGGGATTATTTTTTATTTTTTTATAAATGGGATAAGGGTGGATATGTTAGTATTTATATCCGAGAATATTTACTAAATAATATTATTTAAATATTTATATTTATATTATATATATATTTTTATATTATTTTTAATATTTTAAAAATTATCATTAATTGTAAGTTTAAAAATTAATATTAATTATTTATTTTTAATATTTTAATATACTTAACATCAAATATAAACTTAAAATTATTTATAATTTTTTTAATTTTAAAAAATTCATAAGTATTCATAAATATTTATAAATATATGTGAATATTTATAATATTTACGGATATTCGCGTAATAGATATGAGTACCTTACTGTTCACCCATAGAATTTCATCGTCATTCCTAAGGAAGATCCAGTGTCTCATAGTTGATTTGAATTGTAGGTGATATAAATGGTTGATTTGAATTAATTGTAGGTGATGTAAATTTTGATGATAAAATCGGTTCATGTTTTATGTTGTCCCAATTCCTTTTATATTCTTTTAAAAAGTATATATATTTTTTACAATAAATATGTATTAATAATATTTTTTTAAAAATAATACTTTATAACTTATTGATATTATATTGATAATGATATTATTTAATTTAAATATATTTAAATATATATCTTCTAAAAAATTAATTTAAATATATTGTAAAATATATGTAAGTTTGATACTTTTTTAATTTTACATTTTTTATCGATAAAAATTATAATGACAAGAAATGTGTGATTAAATATTTTTTTTATATAAAAATACAGAATAAAATATATTTTTAAAATAAATTATCGTATACACCTTGATTTAATTTTTGAATATGTTAAATGAAAAATTTCTATAAAAAAATTAAAGTGTATAAAAAACTCAACTTATTCTATTTTATTGTTAAATTTTTTAATCAAAGTTACACATAAAGTTTATTTAATTAAGTCTTTTTCATTATTTACACACCGTACCTAGTCATTTCCTCGATGCACTCATTCCATTCGCAATTCCCTCAGATCTCGATCCCTTCTATTCTGTTCCTCTCTCCCCATCAAATTCAGATTGTTAATAAATGATCTTTTATCTCTTCTTACCTTAACAACTTTCATTCTAATGCAATTGCTATATATATAAATATAATCCATCACATTTTGGCCTTATATTTCCATATCCCTTTTCCCTACTTTCATTGAAGGTCTAAGAAATTTCACTCAACTTTTTCTTACAAAATCGATCAAAATAAACAATAAATGGAGCAGTAGATCCATGCTAGCTAGTTGGGGGTATAAGGATCTAATGATCCTTCAAGTTCGTAATATCAAAGCCTTAATTAGGTAACTTTAAAATAATTATTTTACCACTTGACTACCAAATTCAATAGAACAAATTCTATTATATATTATGCATAAATTTGGAAAGTGGAATCAATATATAATGCCCTTACTTGGATATTTCTGAGTGAAAGTGTCCCAAATACTTGGAGCTCTGCCACCTTCATTTGCTGCACCTTCATACTAAGAAAAGAAAAATTGAATAATTGCATCAACCCCATATAATATAAATAAACACAAAAAGTTAATAGAAAAAGCCTTCTTCTGATCATCTAAATTGGCATGCATGTGTATTTCAACTTCTTTTTTTTACAAGAACACTGTATTTTTTCCCTATTAAGTGTTTGCTTCATCAATCAACAAATTAGTTATGCTTGCAATACTGTGATTGTCATTAGTCTGGAGGAGTTTCATATGACGAGAATTAACCACTAGATTTTTTGCTAAATAAAACCTCTGCATTATATTTGAATTTTACAAAAGCAAATCAAATAATTAATAGCTTTGTTGCACAGTCCACTTGATACAATTTAACCATAATAATACAATTTTTCATGGCATAGAGACTCAAGTGCAAGAAGCTGCAGGTAAGTCAAACCTGATATGCTGAGGATGATGAACCAAATACGAAATCCTTTGGAAAACTGCTTCGTTTAAGAGTGGATGTGTCATAATCCTCAGCAAAACTTTCTTCAATGGAAGCAACAGAATTGGAAACAAAGATAAGTATGGCAGAAATAAGATAGAGAATGAAAGTGATTGAGGATTTAGTTTCCATGGGTGTGGCTTTCGAAAGTCAATAACTCCTAGTACTTTTTTTTTTTTTTTTATAGCAATTCTATTTCCATGTTTAAAATTAAACTACCCCTCTTGAAATATGAAATCATTTGTGTGTTGTGCTTGGTGCCCAAGATTTTAATTAGAGTATATCACCTTCTCTGTCTATCTTTTGCCCTTTTAAATACTACTATATTTATTGCATTATATGGAAGCGGCATTGCACTAGCCACTTGAATATTCAAACAATGCAGCTTCCCCAATATTTAAAACTATGTAAATTAAATATATATATTTAAGAAAACAAAGTACTATAACAAAAGTAATATAGTTATTTAGATCAAGAGTACATATCATTTGAAACATATACTTTTTTATTAAGGGCAATATTCCATCTTTAATTTGAATATGGAGTTTGATTAAAAATATTATTTTATTTTTATAACATTATATATAAAAGATTGATTTAAGTGGAAAAAAATTATAAATTCTTACTAAAAAACTTATGATTATTCAGCATATTAATGAAGCAAAATGGATTTTCATTGTTTTTTACTACCACGCCTCGTATACTGTTGTATCAAAAATCATATTGAGCACTATCATATGTTTTTTTTTTTAAATAAATAAATTAACATGTGCCATATTTAGAAACAAAAACACAGTGAACCCATCGGTCATCATTTATTTATTTTTTCTTCACATGATGTACCCTCTTTTGCCAATCATAGACAGTATTTTTAGTGAAGATTCAAACTTTAATTTGTTATAATTGAGGCTAACCCATTATGCTAAACTCAACTTCATGGGACCATTAATTTTTTTTATTATTCTGGTTCACGTCGCGTCAATGTATTGTTTCATGTTTCCTAAATCCAACATCGTACGTTATTACCAAAACCTTGTATCCTGTATATTTTACTAATATTACTATATAGGAACGTAATTTGTGGACTAAAATTTTCTCATTGTTACTTGCAGCAGACTTAAATAATAATAGTGCGATGGGAAACCTATTGCGCATTTAATATAAGAAGAAATAACAATTATAAAAACTCAGTTCAAAGTTGAAGATTTCGATTTCCTAAAATTTTTAATTATATAAAGCTCACTCGTTCCATGTGCGCGGTTGAACATGCTTAATCGTTAAGGGAGCCGTATTCTTAGGTCTAAATGGTATTATAAAAAATTGAAAAATTAAGAATAAACGAAACCGCTACTATATTATTTTACAAATTACACTTAATTTGGAATCTATTTGAATATATTTCTTGTTCTAACACTTTTAATTGAAAAATAAGAAGAAAAAATAAATTAAGTTTCTTTGTTAAGTTAAATTAACTCAGGTTAACTAATTTATAGAAATTACTTTTTCATTAAGGATCAAAGCCTTTCATCTATGTTTTTCCTTTGTTTTTGTGATATCATTGTCATCCTTCACCATTGAAGCTTGAGCTCTCCAGTCATCAACGTCTTAGTTTTATGTGTTGACTTCTTGTTGCACTACAAAAAAATGTTTTTTTTTCTGGCAGTTTCATAAAACTACCACAAAATATTATATTTTTGGCAGTTATTTTAACTGCCACAAAATAATGACATTTTCAGCGGTTTAAAACCGCCACAATCTTTAGATTTACCTTTTCATGTCATACGTGGCAAACCACTTAGGCACAGTTTAGTGAAAATGGAGGCGGTTTTAATAAAAAAAGGTGAAAAATTAAATAAAATTACTTAAGTTATTCCTACCTCACTTATGCTTATCTCATGTTTTTAAACATTACGTGTAAATGGAGCCTTAGTGTCTCACTGCTTTGTTCCCTCACTCTCACTCACAAACCATCACTCACTCCTAGCCCCTCTTCGAGTTTATGCTTATCTCACATTTTTAAACATTACGTGTAAATGGAGGCGGTTTAGTGTCTCACTTCATTCCCTCACTCACTTCGAGCCCCTCTTCAAATTAGTCCAAGTATTATATTTGGATATTTATTAAAATCCCCTTTTGGAGGAGAAGGATGGATTGTTAGTGTGGACGATTTGGAAGATATAATTGGAGGGCATGTATGGTTGGGTTCCATTTGTATATTTGGTGGAATCTGACATATCTTAACCAAACCCTTTGCATGGGCTCGGCGTACACTTATATGGTCTGGAGAAGCTTACTTATCTTATAGTTTAGGTACTTTATCTGTTTTTGGTCCCTATAAGATGGGTGATTTTGATTATGGTCTTTGTAAATTTTTTTCTTTATTTTTCATCCTTGTAAGATTTATAAAGATTGTTTCGTACTTGTAAAATGAGTAAAATATTTTTCTTTGATTTTCATCCCTCTAAAATATAAATTCACTAGTTTGATTATTTAAAGGTAGATAAAAATATTTATTTTAAAAAACTAAAATGTTTTTTAGAAGTATTAAATATCAATATGATAATAGTACATAATTGTTGTAGGTGACACCTAAGATAATTATTTATCTTTTTTAAAAAAATAAAAAGTAGTTAAAAATAATTACATAAAAAATAAGAATTAAAAATAAAAATTCCAATTTTAGAAAATGAAAAACAATTTTTTTTACAGAAATTAAAATCAAAACTTATTAATTTTATAAGGATTAAAGACATATTTAAGTCATTTTAAAAAGATAAAATTAAAGAAAAATATTTTTTAAATAATAAAAATAAAATTTATTCATTTTATAATATTAAAAATAATATTTATAAATTTAAAAAAAAAAACATTCATCGGATTCTCGAAGAGTTCAAACAAGGGACATTAGGAAGTGTGCTATGGTCTTAAATTTTTCGATGGAAACAAAAATCCGTCAGAAATTTCTGACAGAATCTTTCGTCAGAAATTTTTCGTAAAAAATTTCCTACGAATTTATATTTCTGTCAGAAATTTCCAACAGAAAATTTCTGACGGAAAATTCTGTCGAAAATTTCTGATGAAAATATAAATCCGTCAAAAATTTCTGACAAAATATCCGTCTGAAATTTTCCGTCATAAATTTACGTTTTTCTTGTAGTGCTTGAATGTCTTCTAAGTGTGCTTAAATGAGTCATCATAATTGCCATATTTTGATGATCCATCAATCTCCTCTCATGTGTTGATTCATACCATATTTTCCTTGTGAATCATCTTGGCATTTTAGGCTTTCTTATTTAGGTTCTCACCATTTTTTTTTCTTTAAATTGAGTTGCTGGAAAATTTATGGTTACATGATATACTGCTGGACATTGGCACATTAAAAGTTTTAAAACTCACTCAAATTGTTGTCTCATTAAGCCATCACAAAATATTAAAAAGAATACTCTTAAAATTATTGCTAAACCATTTGTTGGACACAAGTGTAAAACCCAAGCAAAGGAAGGATTATAGTATAAAAATTTAAATAAAAAAACAGAGAAAAGTGGCTGGGTTTTGAACATCAAAACTGAGACTTGGACAAGCACAAAAAGAACAAAAGAAACAAAAAAAAAAAGGGAACCTTGTTAGACTTGTGGACTTTGGGACAAAATTCTCCTACCTTAGCAATGGAGTTATTCTTGGACCTTTGAACAAACTAGTGTATGGCTGTATGAAACATTAAATCAAACATATTAAGTGCATCATTCAATTTTTTTTAGCCTACTTGATAAATTCTATTCTAGTGCCATTCTAGGATTTACTCTCTTGTGTTCTTGCTTTTTATTAATGTGCCTTAATTAATTTTAGTTTTTGAGTCTTTCTTTCTACTCTTAAGTTTGTCTCAACAAATCCACTTGAGTTTAGCCTTTTTAATTGTGCATTTTTAGTTTTTCTTCCTTGGCCTCTTGTACTCTTGGGTTGTGGTTTCTTCTTGACCTAGGTGAGGAAAGCTTCTAAACACCACACACTTCCTTGGTGGATTGAGTAGAGGGGCTGTCCGAATTGAGTTCAAGGTGCTTTGGAGGATAATACCAAATCAAAAGAGAGCATACACCATTGAAAGGCTAACCTTGGGTGTTCCTTATGAAGGGGTGGAGATTCGAAGACTTGAAGACTCAAAATTTTCTTTTTCAATTGTTTCTTGTTAAATTTTTGGCCTTTGTATTTTTGGCCTTTGTTTTCATTCATTTTGGGTTATAGTTGGCCATTTTAAACCTCTTAGTATTAGGGTAACTTGAGTAGTGCTTGTAGGAGTGGCTTGAATACCACCAAGGTCTTCAAGCTCCCACCCTAGGGAATCCGACTAGCACATGTTTTAAGTTGCTTTTCTTTGCATGATTTATAGCTTTGGTAGTATAATTGCTTAGGTTTTCTTTATCTTATTTGTTCGTTTTAGAAGGCTACAAGTTTGCCTACTAGGGGTCGTGTACACACACACACACCTAATTCTTGTGCAAAAAATTGTTTTGTAAGAAAAGTGTCAAAGGGCTTAGTGACTTCACTATAAGAAAAATGTAAATTTTTGACAGAAAATTTTTGACAGATATGGATCCGTCAGAAATTTTCGACAGATATTTCTGTCGGAAATTTTTGAAGGATTTATATTTTTGTCAGAAATTTCCGACAGAATTTTTCGCCAAAAATTTTCCGTCAGAAATTTCCGACATAAATATAAATCTGTCAAAAAATTTTGAGAAATTTTTTGACAGAAAATTCTATCAGAAATTTCCGACGGATTTATATTTCCGTCAGAAATTTACGACGGAAATATAAATCTGTCAGAAATTTCTTATTTTTAATTATTATTTTTAATTCTTATTTTTAATTTCTTATTTTAATTTCTTATTTTTTATTTATTATTTTTAATTTCTTATATATATTTGTGGTATTAAAAGTTTTATATATCTTTTAAAGTATAATTATTTATTACAAGTTTTTTATATCTACGATTAGTATTAAAGATGAAAATAAATTAGGTCACACTATATTTTATTATAATTTAGTTGGTTTGAACCTAACTTTCTTTAAAAATATATATCTTAAGTATGACTTATTTATCTATCATAGACATTTTTTAAATATTTGGGTAAAACTACAATCATAAAGACTTATTTTATAATAATTTAACACTATTAAAAATATAAAAATTAATATGTTAAATATTATTATTATTATTATTATTATTATTCATAATATAAAATTATTATAT